CCGGCGGCGCCACACCGCACGCCGACTTCACAACAGCGCGCACCGGGAACTCTCAAAGACGCCCGACGCGACGATACCGTTCTGGAGAGGAGCCGTCCTGCACCCTCGGAGCTGCTGCGAGCTGTACAACGAGTGGGTGCGGCGCCGAAGCAAGCGCGCCAGTTGGAGCAACCACCCCACCCATCCTAGGAGCAGTTGCCCTGTGTGCTGAACGAATGTGGCGTGGTTCCGCGACGAAGATGCAACTGTTTAACGACCCTGTTCATCCCTGTAGCTGCTGCGAAGCTTCTAAGACAAATGCGCGCGGCGCTAAGACGATGTACATGTGTTTCAGGCGACCCCCATCCATCCTCGACACTATGGCCGACAAGCTTATGCCGTCCAGCGGACAAACGATGCGAACAGAAATCTCAGGCGAAAGGGCCCAGTCCGCCCAACCGACACATTTGAGCAGGGACCGACCGTCCCAGCACTCCTATAGCCCTATCACGAAATGTTCTCAGAGCGTAAATATGTTCTAAGAACAAAGCATTGTTCTCAGGACATACTCCCGATGTGCTAAAACAAGACAGTCCCAACCAGGAATGTTCTAAGAACATTTCCTGGAAACCACAAACGGTTCTCAGAACATTGTTTGGTAGGGCTATAGGCGAGCCGGGACGCTTCGCCACTGCTCGACACATGTCAGGATGTGCAACGTGTAAGGAAAACGGATGGAAGCGGGAGAAGGAGTGGCGAGGGGTGGGGAGGGAGGAAGGGCAGGGGAGGGAGAGGGGAACGAGAGGATGGAGTGAGAGTGGAGATGATGATTGACAAGAGAAGGACGAGGAAGCAGGGAGGACGATGGACAAGCGGGGGCTGGAGTGGAGGAGAAGGGAGGAGGAGTAAGATAATGTAAGACAATGCAACGGCCTGAAGTCAGTCGTGGGCCGGCTAGCCCTCAGCATCAAGGTCGGAGGCACTGTCGCCTCCCGCCTCAGAGGCCGACTCGAACTCCTCCCCTGCTCGGGAGAGAGGCGCGCCGCAAGGGGGGCTCTACTGAGATGAGGTCGGCTTCGGACAAACCAGACGCGCCTTGCCTTAGGTCGGGCATGTCCTTCTAGAGGCGGATGTTTGAAGAACTGGTCCACAATGATCTGCCAATCTTCTCCTGACTACGTTCTGGGACTATTGTTGATTATTCCTCCTGTAGAGGGGCATGCCCGACGTAAGCCTAGCTCGAGGGCCCGTGGGGGACATGGGCGCGGGGCCTACGCTTCGCGCTTCCGCACCGCTGGCCCCTTGGGCCGCTTCCGCGCGGCAGGGGGAAGGAGGCGTGACGGGGCGGGGCAAAAACATCTAGGAGCAGGAGGGGGGGGGGGGACGAGGCGTGAATCCTAGCGTGCTGCCTGCTGCTGTTTGAGGAGTACGAAAGGGTCCACCGCTTGTCAGTGCTCTGTGCTCGCGACTGCTGCTCTAATTCAGACCAAGCCCATCCGGAGGCTTGCCCGCGAGGTCCGCACGAGGAAAAAAGGGCAAACTCAGAGAGGAGATCGGTCAGAGATTGTGGGAGCGCGAGGGTGTGCTCAGGCTGAATACAGTGAGCGGCTTGAATAAGGAACACTTCCTTTTTCCGAAGGGGCTCGGTCGTTCCTTGGGCTTGCATGCGTCATTCATCATTCCTTAATGCGTTATTTGTTATATATCGTTCCTTCTGCGTTACTCCTTGAAAAAATAAGGGGCTTCGTTCCTTATTTATCGTTCCTTAGGTCAGGCCGATGACTGTACCCGCAGGAGGGGCAGCTCTCGTGCCACGAGCCGGCTCTCCTGCGGCCCCTCCGGGACGGCCCCTGCAAGCCTGGACCACTTTTTCCTGGAGGCGCCACCGATGGAGACCAGCGCGGGCCTCGGACACCTCTGCAAGAAAACTTCCCTCCCGAGCCTGTCCCCTTCGAAACCCTGTGGAGGAGGAGGACCGAGGGCCTCCCAGGAGGCCCCCAAAAGGGGAAAGCGGGCGAGGGGTAGAGGTAGGGGCACCCTTTCCTCCTCCGAGGGACTGCTGTTGGGCATTGTACCCTTCTTTCCGTACCCACTTCGCTCGTGCCGAGGATCGGACTCCGCTGCCGCGCCCCCGCAGCTCTCGCAAGGGGCGAGCCTCTTGCCCCATCTCTAGGGCGGGCCGCCCACCGCCACCCCCCCCGGGGCGGCCCCGACCCCGAAAGGCCAGTCCTCCTCCTCCTCCTCCTCCTCCTCCTCCTCCTCCTCCTCCTCCTCCTCCTCCTCCTCCTCCGCGCAATGCACGAAAAGCACGACTGGAGATGTTGGGCTTTTCCGGCCTCTGGGGGCCCTCGCGCGGCCCTGGGACCTTACAACGGGGGCGCGCATCAAGAAGCCATCTTGTTTTCGTCGGGGTACCCAGGGTTTCTTCGCTCCGCGCGCTGCGCGGTGACCTCCCGCGGCCGTCACAGGAGCTGCTGCGTTCAGGGTGCCCCGTGTTCTCCCTCGGTTGCACCTCGCGCGCTCTTGCGAGGTTTTTTTTTTTTTGCGACCGCGTCTGCACTGTCGGTCGGACATGTCCTCTTACAGGCGGGTGTTAGACGAACAACTTACCATAGCAAAAGCATGCTCAAAAATTGTCAAACATAGACGAAGGCTCGTCCCCATAGCATGATTTCTGGACGGTTTTTGGATATTCCTCCTGTAGAGGGACAGGCCTGACTTAACCCTGACAGAGCGCCCCCCAGGGTTCGCGGAGAGACTATGGCGCTGGGTCGCCCCACGATGCTGGCATCAAAATCTGATGCCTCGCCCCCGAAGCCGCAGGCCACCCACCTCGGCTCCCCCTGAAGCGCACGCCATCACCGCGTCAGAATAGGATGCCCCCTATCGGCACCCGCAGCAAACATCGGATGCCGCGATCGGCCCCGGCATCAAAATCCGATGCCGCGGTCCAGGCTCGAGTTCGGGGATCTTCTGACCCGGGTCAATCCAGACCCGGGTCAATCAGGCCTGCAAAATCCTGCAAGATCCTGCGCCCAAACCCGGGTCAATGCGAAGGATCCTGCAGGATCCTGCAGGATCCTGCACCCAAACCCGGGTCAATGCGACCCTGGCGCTGCAGGATCCTGCAAGATCCGGCGCTCTGGCTGACCCCCGTCTGCACTGACCCCCGTCTCGAGGCTCCCGACGAGTCAACATCTGATGCCCCCCGGCTGTCGTGGAGAAGCCCCCGACCCTCCCCATGAGCTTCCCTCCCCTCCCCCCGAGGCCCCTGGCCCGCCGGGCCGCCGATCGCAAGGCATCGGATGGTGATGCCAGGGGGGGGGCCCTCCAACGACCAGACCCGTGGCGCAGGAGAGGAGAGCGCAGCAGGGCTTCCCCCTGGGGACGCAGGCTGCCACGGGCGACGCAGCGTGGGGTCGTCATCGTCGTTTGCGCCGCTGTCGTCACGTCACCCAACCCATCGCATCACGCGCGCGTCTACTGGAATGCCTGCAGATGTATCTCCGCGCCCAAGCTCGAGGAGTTCAGACCTTGGAGCACTGCTCACTGTCTACTTCCGCCGACGCATTGCACATGAGACCCGCTCACGGCCCCAGGCGGGAACTGCAACGACAACGAATTTGAGATGAGCGCTCTGTGTCGCAATTTCGGTTCTGTCGTGGTCTCCTGACGTGACTGGTGTTGTGCTGCAACTGGCAGTGTCCAGGAAGTCCTGCCCGTCTGACACCTTGGAACTGCTCGCGCGGCTGTCGCAGCCCCACTGCAGCAGCACCTAAAAATGAGCGTCCGCATGTGCGCCGGCGTTGTCCTGGACCCGGGGGAAGCCCACAGGTACCGATACCGCTGCTCCAAGGCCCTCTCCTGGGGTGCGTCCTGACGAGAATATCGAGGCGAGTCCGCAGCAGTGGCGACGAGGGCTTCCCAAGAGGCCCCCCAAACAGGGGAAAACGAGGCATGGGTGCATGTTCCTCCTCTGACGTGCGCCGGCGTTGCCACTTTATGTTTCATTCTTGGGGGACCTTGTCTGTCCCCTCTCGTCCCTGTCCGCGTCGAATCGGTGTCGAATCCATGTTGGACTCGTCGGGTCCGTGTCGAAGCCGTGTCGAACCCGTGTCGAATCCGCGTCGAGTCCGCGCCAACTCCGCGTCGAGTCCGCATCGAGCCTACGTCGGGCACAAGAAAATACACCAGTTTTGGGGTCAGGAGGGGTCCCCGGAAGATGCAAAGTAAGGAGTGTTTTGTGTACATGTTCCTCCTCTGACGTGCGCCGGCGTTGACCCAGACCTGCCACTCCTGCCACTCCGCCGCGCTCAACGGCGCTGAAACCCCGAGCCGAGTGGTCGGCGACCCGTGCCTCCTTGGCTCGACTGGCCTCGAGGTTGGCGAGCACGGATGGCTCCGGAGATCCACCAGGTCACTCACCCCGCAACTTCCCAGGCGACGCCAGCGTGAATCGTGACGTGACCATTGAGCAGGGACCGACCGTCCCAGCACTCCTGTAGGCCTAGCACGACATGTTCTTAGAACCCCAAAGTGTGCAAATAACAAAATCAATGTTCTTAGAACATACACCCGACGTGCTCAAACGAAACAGCCCCAGCCAGAACTGTTCAACACATTTCGTGGAAGCCGCAAAGAGGTTCCTAGAACATTGCTTGGTAGGCCTCTGTTCTATGTTACGCGCATTTGGTTCCTACGCGGGCGGGCGTTCCCCTCGAAACGCACCGAGCGTACGACCACGCCGGAGCGGCAGTACGGGCCGCAGAGGAAAGAACATGAAGCTGAACGCACTGCGGGAACAAAGCGCGCGAAGCACACTTGGACACGCGAGCAGGCGTCCAAAACGGCCTCGGACGCTTCGCCACTGCTTGAGACCAGGGGGGGAGGGAGGGGGGGGGGGCGCTCACGGACGTCAGCACTAGTAATGTCAGAATCTGGCTCGCTCAAAGGGTGGGGGCGGAACGGCCCCCTGTCGCCCGATTCATCGCCGATAGGGCCCCGACGGCCCATACCGCCCGTCAGGGGGATCTCGCTTCTGTCCTGGGCCAAAGATCAAAGGACAGGATTCTGTGTTCTCGGGCTTTGACGTTTCGTGTTGAAGGCGGGAACGCCAAGCAGAAGAAAGGTGGATTTCGCGCTTCTGACTGTCGCTTCGGGGCGAATCTGAGCCGCACCAGCAGCTGGCCCCCCGGCTACGCCAGGGGCGCTGCCGCCGTCGGCGGGGCTCCACCGCGCTCTCAGTCCCAGATGGATCGGAGGAAGGGAAGGGAAAAACGGGGGGGGGGGTAGGAGGGGAAGGGAGGACGGGGATCGGAGGGGGAATGGAGGACGGGGGAAAGGAGGACGGGGAAAAGACGAGGGGGAGGGGAGGGGTCATAGGAAGTAGGATAGGAGGAGGCGAAAGGAGGAGGACGGGGAGGGGAGAGAGGCACCCTGACTAAGGTTGCTGGCCTTCGAGGCTCCCTGGAAAGAGGGGGGGAAGGGAGTCGCCTGCTCGAGCGTCGTCCCTGCCGAGCAGAGCAGGAGCTCCTCGGCCTCCGGCACGCGCTCACGCCTGCCGCACGCTCGGTCTGCCCTCTTCCACCGTGCTCCAGCCTCTTTCTCCTCCCTCCTCCCTCCTCCCTCCTGCTCCCCCTCCTCGTCCTCCTCCTCCTCCCCCTTCTTCCTCCCCCATCTTCATCTTCCCTCCCCATCTTCCTCCACCCTACCACTCCTTCTTCGTCCGTCCTCTTTCCCCCTACTCGAATATACTCAGATTTCTTTTCCTTATCCTCCTCCTACTTTTCCTCCTCCTCCTCCACGTTCACCTCCTCATGACCCGCTCTCCCCCTCCTCGTCCGTCCTCCTCATCCTCCCCACCCTCCTCCTCCTTGCCATCCCTCCCCTTCCTCCTCCTCCTCATCCGATTCACCCCCCCCAATTTCCTTCCCCTACTCATCTTGCATCTTCTCTCTCCTCCCTTCCTCATCGCCAATATATTGTTACCGTTTCTCCTCCTGCTGTTCCTCCGCCTCCTCCTCCTCGTCCTCTCCTCCCTCGCTTCTGAGCGACTCCCGGGCTCGCGCCTGGTGTACATGGAGAGGACCAAGTCGATGACCTGACGGAGGGGAGGGCCACATAGAACTCTCGGTAGCCCTCCTCCTCCATCCGTCTTGCTTGCCTCCTCCTCCTCCTCCTGCTCTTCTTCTTCCTCCACCCCTCCTCTGGAATGTAAGCAATCTGCGTGCATGTAAACTTTCGGGGGTCCGCGCGGACCTCCGAACATCTATGATTATGCAACTATTGTTTATCATTATTATTGTATTCGATCCTCCTCATCGTCCTCCTCGTCCTCCTCCTCCCCTCCTGAACGATCCCCAGGGAGGCCCAACATTGCACGCCATTCGGCATGCGCGCGCGAAGCTCGTCTGGTAGGATTTGATGAACATGTGGAAAACAGATGGTTATCGTAAGGATTCGCAAGAGCGTGCGCGCAGGTTGTTTTGTTGGTGAAAATCCGTGTTGCGAAACATTGTGTGTTCAGGCGTCTTTGGGGAACTCAATTTTGCAATCCTTCCGTCACCGAAGGTTTTTGAAGGATTTCGGCATGCGCGCGCGGCGACGCATGCGTGTGCATTTCGTTTATTTGGCAAGGCATTCTTGGACATTTATGATTTGTGATCAACGAGTGCGCGCGCATACTATGTTTTGCAGAAAATGGCGGGGGGGGCGATACCGGCTTGCCTGGGATAGTATGAATTCACAAAAGGATGGACATTGGGTCATACATATATGCAAACTGCAATACGGAAAGGCGGATCGATAAGTCCGGAAGGGGGGGAGGGTGGTAGAACCTCTTCCTTTTTCAAAAGGAGACTCTACGTGGTGCAATCTCTGTGGTGCGCGACATGGGCGGTGCAATCGGCGTGGTGCAATCCAAGTGCTGCAATATATGTTGTTCCACTGTGGTTGTGCAATCAAGGTGGTTCAGTATACGCGATGCAGTCTCGGTCGTGCAATTTATGTTTGCAAAGCTAGTTTGTGCAGTCAGCGTTGTACAACTTATGCGGTGCATCATTCGTGGTGCAATCTACGTGGTCGAATACATGCTGTGCAACCTACCCTGTCGAACTTGAAAGTGCCAACTCCACTGCTCACGCAATCAGCCCACCCATCCACCCGCAGCTTGGGTTGCAGAACCCATGCGGCGGCGACTGACATGACTGCTTGGCGCTGACTGGCGCGCCGCTGCGGCCGCGCTAGCGCGCGCAGGTTCGCGCGCAGAGCGCTCAGCTAGCCTGGCGCGACCGACGCGGCCGCGGTGGCGCTGACCGCGGGGGGGCTCCCAGCACGCAACGCAGGCCGCACTGACGCGTGGCCTCTTCAGTGCGAGTCGGGTGACTCGGGCGGGCGCGGTATCATGGCGACGTCGACCACGGCGGACACGATGATGAGTGTAGCGACGCCGTTGACGACGATGAAGATGGCGATGGCGACGACAAAGCCCAACGCGGCGCCGATGCTGATCTCCCCGATGACGGTGATGGTGTCCACGCGTCGGTGGTGAAAGTTTTGGAAGGATTTCGAAATACGCGCGCGGCCGGCGTGAGCGAGTGGCCCGCATGGTCAGAGTGAGGGGGCCGAACGGTCATTTGTTGTCCCTGGGTGCGTGGCTGAAATGGGGTTCCACGGTGCGGATTCATGTTGTTGTTGCTGTTGTTGTTACTGTTGTTATTGCTGTTGGTGTTGTGTTGATTATTGTTTGTTGCTCGTTGTCATCGTCCCGCCCGCGACCCGAACCGCAAATCACCCCCGACCCACCCGCGACCCACCCGCGAAACACCCCGCACCCCACCCACGACCCACCCGTGACCCACCCGCGACCCACCCCACGACCCTCCCGCGACCCGCCCGCGACCCACCCGCGACCCACCCGCGACCCACCTCACGACCCTCCCACGACCCACCCGCGACCCACCCGCGACCCACTCACATTGCTCCCAATCGGCGCATGCGGCGGGCTCGTCGCATAATTTGTAAAAGATCGTCGCCTGCGGCGGGCCTGTTCGAAGCCTCGCAGACTGCCAACGACGCCGCCGCCCCCTCACTCTTATAAGCAACTCTGTGGTGCTACGTATTATGCGACAGGTTTGCCCCCCCAGCATGCGCGCAAGGGCGTTCGAATGACTTCGACATGCGCGCGCAATAGGCCCGTCTGGTCGCATTTGATGACCAAGTTGGGAACTCTGTGATTTGTTAAGAACTCGCAAGAGCGCGCGCAGACTTTTTGTTGAATCACTATTGTGCGAAACCACGTGTTTTATTCATGGTCTGGGGCCACTCGGACGGTTTCTCATGGATTTCGCCATGCGCGTGCGACGACGCGAGCATGTGCACAACGTCAAGTTTTGTGGCACGGAAGTTCTGCAGTTCATGATTTGTGATCAGCGAGTGTGCGCGCATAGTGCTTGGGTTCGAGGGGGGTCGAAGTTGGCTTGGCTCGGGGGTGGTAGGCCATATTTAGAATGAGCGATGGGGCAACAAAAATCACGTGCAAGTTGCACATCCCGGAGGGGGACAGATAGTCCCTGCCTCAGGGGGTTGGTAGATCCAAATTCTTTCTGCGTTGTGCAATTTACGCGGCGACGGGGCAGCGACGGCGACAGCATAGCCGCCACCCCGACAATCAGTCCCAGACGACGGGCGGCGACGAGGCGGCGACGGCGACAACGTAGCCGCCAGACCAACATTCAGGCCCAGCTCCTTAGAAAAGAAATAAGATACCACGAATGCAAGCACTGCTCAGGGAATACGAACAAAAACATTAATGTAAACATTCGGAATTCCGGCCCGATTTCTTGGATCACCGATGGACCCCCCTCATTAATGCGCGAGCGCGTCAGGGGCGGCGCCGGAGGCTCCGCCAGTGCGGCTCAGCACCGACCTAAGAAATATGTGCGCACATGTTAATGTTCTTTTCCTCCTACAATGGAAGTGGCAGGGAAGCTCCTCGCACCCTGAGATCTGGACATCTATCCATCTTCAAAAATGCTACAGAAAGAGGGAATCCAGAGCACTGGTCGTGATTCTAGCGATATTTGGTTAGAAGGCTCCCAGGTGGGATCCGAGTAAATAGGGTCGGAGGACCGCGCCGCATCGGCAATGCATCGGCGATGCATCGGCGATGCGTTGGCGATGCGTGAGCGCCGTCAGCGTGAAGAATATCGAGCTCCACATCGAGCCGCGCCGATGCATCGGCGATGCGGCGCGATCCTCCGAACCCATCTGCGCCAACCCCGCCTAGGCTTAGGTCGGGCATGTCCCCCTATAAGCAGATTCTGGACGAAAAATCAAGAATACGCAAAACATACTCCAATAATACTCTACAATTGTGAAAACATTGTCCCCATATTATCTTTTGTGTAGAAAAACAGGCCCGACTTACAACTAGAAGGACAACGCCACCACCACCGACTCGGGAGCGGCCAAAATGGGAGTGTCCAAGAGAGGGGGGGGTGCAAACCATGACCGGCGGCATGTGCGCGGCACAGCGGGGGGGCCAGGGACGTCATGAGATAAGAAGAAGCGCCATGAATCTGGGGAAATATCATGGCACCCGCCATGATATCCCCCCCCCCTAGTCGTCACCCCCCTCTTTTCCGCCCCAGACATCTGCCGCTGTGGAGGGCCCGCCGGGCCGCTGTTGAGCCGAGGAGGAGGAGGGAGGAGGAGGAGGAGGAGGAGGAGGAGGAGGAGGAGGAGGAGGAGGAGGAGGAGGAGGAGGGAGTGAGGAGGAGGAGGAGGAGAGGAGGAGGAGGACGGATGAGGAGGAGGAGGAGGGAGGAAAAGGAGGAGGAGGAGAGAGGAGGAGGAGGAGGAGGAGGAGGAGGAGGGAGGAGGAGGTAAGGGAGAGGAGGAGGAGATGGAGGAGGAGGAGGAGGAGAGGAGGAGGAGGGGGGGAGGGAGGAGAGGAGAGGAGGGCGCAGGACAGGAGCGAGGAGAAGAGGGAGGAGGAGGAGGAGGAGGAGGAGGAGGACCACGCAGTTGACCGTTGGTCAATCTAAAAAGAGAGGTAGCCTGCCCTTGGATTAAGGGAGGCAAACGGTGAGGAAGCTAGACTTCCCCTCTTGTGAATTTGGCAAGATAGGCCGCCCCAGACGCAGTGGCCTTCTTGCATTCTTTGAAGAGATTCTGACCCGCTCTGGTGGCGTGGGAGCCGCAGGTCAGGCAAATGTATGTGCCTTTGGCAGACATGACCATATCATGAGACGGGTCAACATACCTGGCACCGATGTATACATGGTGGAGAGACTTCGCTCCCTCGAATCCCGAACGGGGTCCCGCTAAAACACACGGGGCGGCAAGAAACTCCTGGGACGGAATATTACCGTGCGAGTTGACAGATATGACCGAACAACACAAATTACAAAAGAGCCTCGATACGGGGCCCTCTCCTACAGGAATCATATTGTGTGCTGACTCCCTAAGCTGCTTGGCTAACTTGGGGCGAGGGTTGAAGGCTCGAGGAGGAGGAGGAGGGACTGCTGGTTTCGGCTTGGCTCTGGCTTTCTTGCGAGCTCTCGGGGCCTGGGGATTGTCTCCAGAGGCCTCTGAAAATCTCGAGAGGAAAACCTCACAAGCTCGAATTCTAACAGCACGCGTCAGGGCCTCAGAAATCTGGACCGCCTCCACCTCCCCCGCCTGCAACTGGATATTCTTGGCCGTGTGGTCAGCCAGTTCATCAGCTGCCTTGTTGCCAACCCACGCAAAGACGAGCTCCTTTTTCTCCGCAGCCTGATCTGGAGTCATGTGCGACTCGATCTTGATGATGCTGGTCGGCTTCTCTTGAAGAAGCCGCTGAATTCGACGCCACTCGTTCCTAAATCCAGTAGGAAAGAAATCCAAGAGGATGCGAGGAGGAGGAGGGAGGAAGGATGGGTAGGGAGGAAGGATGGAGGAGGGAGCGGAGGAGGAGGAGGAGGAGGGAGGATGAGAGGAGGGGAGGAAGGGAGGAAGGGAGCAGGCAGGAGGAGGGAGGAGGAGGAGGAAGGAGGAGAGGAGGAGGAAAGGAGGAGGATTAGGATAAGGAGGGAGGGGTTGCGTTGCCCATGATGTCCCCCCCCCCCCTATTCATCACCCCCCCGACTCGGGGGGCCGACCCCGGCCTCACGGAGAGCGCGCTGCGGCCTTTGCACCCCTGGAGCCGCTGGGAAGCACGGGGGCAGTGTCGGCATCGAGTTGGGGAAGCGGGCCGGCCCAGAACGGGGGGGAGGAGGAGGAGGAGGAGGAGGAGGAGGAGGAGGAGGAGGGAGAGGAAGGAGGAAGGATGAGGAGGAGGGAGGAGAGGAGAGGAGGAGAGGAGGGTGAAGGAGGAGGAGGAGGAGGAGGAGGAAGGAGGAGAGGAGGAGGAGGAGGGAGGAGGAGGAGGAGGAGGACGAGGAGGAGGAGGAGGAGGACGAGGAGGAGGAGGACGAGGGGACGGAGGAGGAGGAGGAGGAGGAGGAGGAGGAGGAGGAGGAGGAGGAGCCGCAGGAACATGAAGAGAGGAAGGAAGGCAGAGGGGATGGAGGGGCCAGGGAATTGGCCACTCCGCCGGCGTCTTGAAGTTGTCCGCGTCGGGTCTCAGGACTTGCTCATGACGTCGACCCCTGGAGTGCTCGACCCATTGCCCGGGACCAGCCCTTTTCATCCTGAATCGTTCTGTTGACGGTCCCGGGGCTCTGCGAGGGCCCCCAGAGGAAGAAAATAGCCAAAAGCCATCCGTCATGAATGTTTGTGGGGAAACCAGAAGGTATCCATACCGCTACTCCCCAGACCTCTCCTGGGGTGCGTTCTCATCAGGATTTCGAGGCAAATCCAGCGGTGGCGACGAGGGCCTCCCAGGAACCCCAAACCTCTTCCTCCTCCGAGCTTTACGGCCCGAGGACGTCTGCGAAGCCCAGATCTTCACAGCGTCGGATCCCAGGGAAGAGGGACGGCCTCCGGGAAAGCCTCAGAGCGGCCCGCCCCACGGCGCATCTCGCCACGCCCGCCCCCCCCCCCCCCCGCAGCAGCGGCCCGAGAAGGGGCCTTCGAGGTCTCGTCCGTGCAGCACACGTAGACGGGGGTGCCGTGCTCCTGGGCGCGGAGTCTGTGTAGCTCTATGGGCGCTACGGCTAGGTCGGGCATGTCCTCAAAAATCAAAAAAAACCCAAATAGTAATCAGTTATCGACCAAATCGTCACCATTCTATTGTTCGACTATTCTTGAATAGGGCCGCCAGAAACGGGCCCAGGATGAGAAAGTACCCCCAGGGAGATCACCTGCACAACTTGCAATCCTTCTCCAGGGGTGTGTGTGTGTGGGGCCTCCCCCTCCCGAAGCTCTGTTCACTGGCTTCCGGGTGCTCATTGACGGGGGGGGGGGGGCGGGCAATCACCGCAAGATGAAGAAAACTCACATTCCTGAGGAAACCAGCAGGTGCTGATACCGCTACTCCCCGGACCTCTCCCGGTGTGCGTTCTGACCAAGATTTCAAGGCGAATCCAGCGGTGGCGACAAAGGCCTCCCAAGAGGCCCCACAAAGGGAAAAAACGGGCCGAGAGTAGCAGGATGGGTATCTTTTCCTCCTCCGACTCTCGTGCACCGTCTGAGGTCGCAGTGGCAGTTTCATCAGGGGCCGTTGCGGGCCCTCTGTGGAAGAGGGGGAGGAGGAAGAAGAACAGGAGGAGGAGGAGGAGGAGGAGGAGGAGGAGGAGGGATGGGGGGGGGGGGGGAGGGGGGGGATGGGGGCTTTTTCTGAGGAGATGCTTAAGGAGGCGAATGGAGGTAGGATGAATTGAGAGTAGAGGAGGAGGAGGAGGAGTGAGAGTATGATTGTTGATATACAGTGGAGTGCTTGGATTGTGAGTTGGGCTTGTCTGAGATCCTCGACCTCGTCACGTCGGTTGCCTCCCCGTGGCCGCTCGCCCGACGACCCTTCTCTTGGATGGCCTCGAAGGGCCCCAGAGAGAGCCGCGGGAACCCCCCTCGGGTGCGCCGCAAAAGGGAGGCCAGGGCGAGGGAAGGACGGGACGCAAGGCGAAGCCAGGACGAGGGTAAAGAACGGGCGAGGATAGATCGGGAGCCCCTGAGATCCGGCGGCTCTGGAGGATGTCTCGGGCGCCGCGGCCCTTCTTAGGGGGCAAACGAACCTACCTCGCTTTTGACCACCCTCGCTTCCAAGAGCTACCAAGCGATGCCAAACTACGGCACGCACTGGTCAGGCCACTCGACGGGGAGGCGCGTGGTATGACTTGGTTTTGCCTGGAAGCGAAAGCGGGGTAGGTAATTCACGCTCTGACTTCTCAGAGCAGCGAAACGATCGGCCGCTTCCGACACGTCAGCTCGTTCACAGGCCACCGACTCCGGGTCGCTGGCGGCGCTCCACGCGGAGCGCCCGCGGCAGGGTCGCCGCCGGTGGACGCGAGGCGCGGAACTACCGTGTGGAGCATCATGGCCCGAGGCACGTGCGCGGACGCTGGGGGGGGCAGGGCACGTGTTGGAAGAAGAGAAGAATAATAATGATTAGAAAAGTAATAATAATAAGAAGAAGGATGCTAATAAGAATAATACTAAGAAGAATAATCATAAGAGAAAAACAACTCATGATAATGATGATAATAATGAGAATAATAAGAATAAGAAGGATAAAAAGAAGAAGAGGCTATGAAGCCCGGGAGGCGTCGTGGCCCCCGCCATGACATGAACTCCACACACACACACACACACACACGCCTAGTCCTTACCCCCCATCGGCGTCTGGCTGCTTCCGGGTCCTGGCTTGGGCCGCCCGCAGCAATTCGGGGCGATCTGGGCATGCCCGGAACGCTCTCGACGAGCCGCAGCTGCTGGCGCGCCTCCAAGGCTGGAGAACCGCCAGCAGCCAACGACAACGCTTGAAGAATCTTGGGTGGCCACTCATGGGAGCCGCCCATATCATCTTGTTCGCTCTTGCGAATCGGCGCTCATCGACGCTAACTCGACGCTAACTCGACGCTACAGCGGCGCTTCCTCATTGGTTGCCGGACTTCAGCGCACGCTGATGCCCTCAAGACGGAGTTACAAAGGTACAGTACAGTAGGAACTCGACCACAAGAACCCTGCCACAATAAACACAACCCTGCAACCACAGGATGCCTATTGATTTTGGGTATGGGTACGCCACGCTTTCCATGGCAAAACAAATCGCAACCGAAAAAAACAAGGCACCCTAGAGGCAAGCCTGGTGTCTCTTGGAATGGGTTTCCACTGTATGCAAGGCTCCAGACGCTGAACGACGATCATCGACGCGACATCGGCGGTTCCTCCTCGACTGCCATACGCTAACGCACGCGAATGCACTCGAAAGACATAATCACGTGAGGAACCCAAGAAGTACCGATACCGCTACTCCATGGACCTTTGCAGGGGTGCACTCTGACCAAGATTTCGAGGCGAATCCAGCGGTAGCGGCGAGGGCCCCCCAGGAGGCCCCCCGAAGGGGAACACGGGGCGAGGATGGCCATAGGGGTACATTGTTCCTCCTCTGCCTACGAGGGTGCGCAGGGCTCCCACGACTTGCTACCGACAAGAACCGGCGGCGAGCACGGGGGGGAAGTGAGTGAGAAGAGGCAGGCCTTCGCAGAAGGCTCGGAAGTCCCCAGGCCTTCTGAGAAGTGTCCTGCAGTCACAACGTATATGAAGGACGGGTGGCAAGGACGCAAGGCCCTTGGAGGCCGAAGTTGGATTTATTGGGGCGGGGGGCGGCCAGTCAAAACGGCGAAGGACGGGCCGCAGGGGCAAGGACTCAAGGGCACCCTGGATGAAGGCACGCGTCCTTACTAGGCGCGTTGACTGTAAGCCTCCCCCGAAGACACAGCAAAACCTCTCGCAATGCCGGAGGGCTTCTGAGAAGCTCCGCCGCCTTCTGAGTCGGCCTCCTCCTTCTCACTTTCCCCATCCTCGCTCGCCACGAAGGAACCCAGGAGCGACCCCCGAGAAACCAGGACGCGCCCCTCTCGGACGCCCCCCGGGAGCCCGAAGAGGAGGGCGCAGGCGGGTGCCTCCTCCTCCCCTGCACGAGGGCACGGCCCCCATGCTCTGCGACCGACGAGAACCTGGGCGCCCACCCCGAGAAGCCAGAAGCGTCCCTCTCGGACGCCCAAGGTGGGTGCCTCTTCCTCCTCTGACGACGAGGGTACGCAAGGCTCCGATGATCTGCTCGCGACACGAGCCCAGGAGCCAGGCCCGAGACGAAGGAGACGTCCCTCTCGGGCGCCCCCCCGGAGCCCGAAGACGGAGGGCGCGGTGCCTCTCTCCCCCGGTGCCTTGCCCCTCCAGGAGCCCACCCTTCACAACAGCTTCGAGCTTACCATCCACCCCTGTCCCTACGACCCAGGATGGACGAGCCCCAAAGGCGGCGGCGAGCCAGGGGGGGAAGTGAGAAGGAGAAGGCCCTCTCGGAAGGCGGAGGTGCTTCTCAGAAGCGCCCCCGCCTTCTGAGGAGTTTCCCTGCAACTCCGGGAGAGGCCCGGGAAACTCCTCAGGAAGGGCGGGGGGCTTCCGAGAATTCTGGAAGGGCCCCCGCCCCTCCTCGCTCCCCCCCCCGGGGCTCGCCGCCGATGGCTGCCCCAATCCCCAGGACTGACGAGCCTCCGAGGGCCAAGGGCGATTGCAGTGCCAGTGGTGCGCCCTCGGAAACCGAGGGGCTCCGTTGCTCGTTCGTCATGTACACCCTCGCGCCCCTGAGGTCCGACGTCGCGGAAAACATGAAGCCTCGTAGAGCACCGCGAGCGGGGCCCCCGGCCCCGTCCTTCCGCCGCGCGCCCCCGAGCTGGATCGATCCGCGAGGGCCCCGCGGGGCCCAGAGCGGAGCGGCGCGGCCGCGTGAGCAGGAGACGCGGAGGAGGACTACCTACCAGACCACCCCAACCCAACCCGAAGACCCCAATTTCGGGTTGGGGGGGGTACGGGTTCCATATGTGTTTTTTCACTGTTCCCCGACCCCCCCCAACTGGAAATGGAGGGCAAATTGAGGCCTTCGGGTTGGGTTAGGGTGGTTTGGTGGGTGGTGACGGGAGGGCCGCCGCGGCGAGCTCCGAGCTCTGCATGCTGCGCATCAGCAGGTCGCCCTGCAGGTGCCGGCTCGCGGCCATCAGCCCCGTGAGCCTGCGGACCTGCGGGCGCCATGCAGTGGGAACCCCCGCCCTCGGGAGGAGCCAGGGTGCCCTCCCCCCCCTCCCTCCCCTGACGGTGTGGTCCCCCATGACGCCCCTCGTCGGCCCCAAAGGCGCCTGCGTGCACGAGGAGGGCCAGAGGAACAGCCAGGGAAGGAGCTGAGAGCACACCGAGCCCCTTCCGAACCCAACCTGTTCCCTACTTCAGCGCACTGGCTGTATCCCCAGCTCAGGAAAACATCGTGGACCTCCTCGCTGGAGGCCCCCAGGTGGTGGTGGTGGTGGTGGTGGTGGTGGTGGTGGTGGTGGTGGTGGTGGTGGTGGTGGTGGTGGTGGTGGTGGTGTCGCTTCTGCGCATCGTTGAAGAAGCCCCTGCACCCATGGGCGTGGCATTGGCCCCACTGGCCGATTGACCCCCCTGGATAGCGATATAGCCAGCTTCCTTCGGGTTTCGAGGGGTCTATCCCCGACTGGGGGGGGTGAGATGGTGGGAGTCTGGATGAGGATGGGGATTGGGATAGGGGTCGGTTGAACGAGCCTGAGCTTCTCTTTCCCCCGAAACCTGCGGCGCCGACCTCCCGAAGAGGACGCCGAGCAGCCTGCCGAGCGCGCCCAAGCGCTGCGCCTCGCGCCCCCCTGGCCCGCCGCCAGGCTGCTTCAGGATCTTCAGGTTTGCAGCGACCTCCCATCCTCCTTCCCCTCCACCTCCTCCCCCTCCCATCCCCTCCCTCTCCTACTTCCCCTCCCCCTCCTCCTCCTCCTCCTCCTCCTCTTCCTCCTCCTCCTCCTCCTTCTCCTCCTCCTCCTCCTCCTCCTCCACCTCCTCCTCCCTCCTCATCTTCCTTCCTCCTCCTCCTCCTCCTCCTCCACCTCCTCCTCACCCTTCTCCTCCTCCGTTTCCTCCTCCTCCATTTCCTTCTCCTCCTCCTTCACCTCCTCCTCCTCCTCCTCCTCCCCCTCCGCCTGCCCCTCCAGGGACGGAGGAGGATGACGAAAACGATGACGACAACGATGATGATGTTGCTGCTGATGATGATGATGATGGTGGTGATGCTGATGCTGATGATGCAGTTGATGATGATGCTGATGGCTATGGTGATGATAATGATGATGATGACCATGACGATGACGCTGAAGATGATGATGCTGCTGATGACGATGACGACGGAGCTGGTGATGATGGTGTCGATGCTGGTGCTGATTACAACTTTGATGGCGAGGATGATGATGATGCTGATGATAGCGATGATGCCGCTCATGCTGATGATGATGATGATGATCATGATGATGATGATGAGGTTCGGGAAAATGAGGATGATGGTGTTGATGATGATGATAATGATGCCGATGCTGATGATGACGATTATGACGATGCTGATGATGCTGCTGATGATGGCGGTGATGACATTGATGATGATGATGAGGATGATAACGATGCTGATGATGCTGATGCTCATGATGGTACTGACCACATTGATTATGATGATGGTGATGATCATTGAATTGCTGATAAGGCTGATGATGATGTTGGTGCCGGAACTGATGACGATGATGATGACGGCGATGACGATGATGATGACGATGATGCTGCTGATGGTGATGATGCGGTTCTGATGCTGATGATGAGGAGGATCATGGTGTTGTTGGTGACGGTGCCGATGATGATTATCATGATGGTGCTGATGATGATGATGGTGATGACGATGCTGATGCCACTGATGATGATGATGCTGATGACGCGAATGATGATGATGACGATGACGATGACGATGACGATGACGATGATGATGATGATGATGATGATGATGATGATGATGATGATGATGCTGATGACGCGGTTGATGATGATGCTGATGATGCTGATAGTGATGATGATGATGATGACGATGTGGTTGTTGACGACGTCGATGGCGAAGAGGAAGATGAGGAAGAGGATTTGGAGGATTGATCGAAGGATGACGTGGAGGATGAGGATGAAGACCACGAACATAGTGAGGATGAGTTGTTTAGGGGCACTCCTCATCCTGGGTCCCATAGGAAGGATAGTGTGATAAAGGGCTATTTAAATAGAAGGACGGTAAGGAGGAGGATGACACGTATGACGGATGGAAGCACATCACGGGGAGAAGTGACTGCTCAACCTACTCATCATCATAATCATACCATAATCAACATCATCATCAACAGCACCAGCATCATCGTAATCGTCATCGCCAACACCATCCTCATCATCAGCTTCAGCGTCAGCGTCAGCGTCAGCGTCAACATCATCATCATCATCATCATCATCATCATCATCATCATCATCATCATCATGATCATCATCATCATCATCAGCAACATCGCCGTCCTCCAGCTCCCTGCGAGCATAGCCTTCCAAGATCATAACACGGCCCCTTGCCCTCCCATATGGCAAAGAGAGAGGAGAATCCATAACACGATGATGGCGAGAAGAGGTGGGGGAGAGAGATGAGGAAGAGAAAGAAAAGGAGGAGTTATGTGAGCAGGAGGAGGAACAGCAAGAGGATAATGAGGCGGAGAAGGAGCAGGTGGTTATTCCTCTTTCCTTCCCCGCCTCCTCTTCACATGGGACACGTGGAAGGAGAGTGACGACAGGAGGAGGAGAAGGAGTGTTTCATACATTGTATAACGCTCGCCCTGAAGATCTGTGCTACGATGTGCAGGCTCCAAGTGTGGATGTCCGCTGCGAGATGCGAGGTCACCCGAAGAAAACCAGTTATCATCTTTGTGTTTTATAGCTTGCCATTTTGCAGGGGGGGCCCTTTCAACCCCGAACGTCATAATTTGGATATGTAATGTTCGTAGCTTCTATGGCCAGTCCCAGCTCAGGGGCTTGGTAAACCATGCCCGTTACCCAGTTTCGAGGCTCGTCGTGAGCATCTCGGTAGGAGTGCTCACGATCAGTTTCCCGAGTGCCGAGCCTCGAGTTTCTGCTTGCGCGGTGCAGTGTTTACCATCGCTGGGCGATGGCATGTAATCCCTGTAATCCGTCCTCCTCCTCCTCCTCCTCCTCCTCCTCCTCCACCCCCCCACCTCCTCCGCCCCCTTCCCTTCCCCAAACCTCGCCCCCCTCCGCCCCTCCTCCGGCAGCCTGTTGAGATGAGGGGGCAAGACCCCCGGCGGAGGTCGGCCAGAATGAGCCCCTCGCGCGCGAGCATGCCAGGGGGGGGGGCCATGACATGCGGGCACGTCCTGGGTACCGGCCAAGCGGAGGCAACGGTCAGCACACCGCTCGAATGGAAGTTTCAGGGAAGATCCTTATTCCCCTCTGGCCCCCCCGCCCCTCCTTCATCCCCCGTCTTTCCCTAATCCCTCCCCCGTCCACATCTATTCCTCCTCCTCTCTCCCCCCGCTCATCCTACCCCTCCCCTCATCCCCATCTCCCTGTTCCTTTTCCTGCTCCTCCTGCTCTTCCCTCCTCTCTCCATCTTCCCTCTCCTCCTCCCTCCTCCCCTCCTCCTCCTCCTCCTCTCCTCGTTGTCTTCCTCCTCCCTCCTCCTCCTCCTCCTCCTCCTCCTCTCTTTTTCATGATCATCCCTCCTCTGTCCTCCTCCCACCCTCCTCCTCCTCCCTCCTCCTCTCCCCCTCCGCTCCGCCTCCCTCCTCCTCCTCCCTCCTCCTCCCTCCGCCCTCTCCTCCTCTCCTCCGCGTCCTCTGCCTCCTCCACCTCCTCCTCCCCCACCTCCCCCTTCGCCTCCTCCTCCTGCTGCTCCTCCTCCTCCTCCTCCTCCTCCCGTATGCGACCTCCTGTTTCGCCTTCGCTTCGGCCATCTTCAGGTCGACGACGCGAATCAGCGGCCAGACCTGCCGCCACGCCGCCTCGCTGCTAGATATCTTGGGCATGGCCCTGGACAGCACGCAGAGCTCCTGGACCGTGTGCATACAGGGCAGTTTTTAACTCATATGATGTTTTGAACAAATGTCGGATTTTAATACATGATTAGTGTATGAATAAGTTTATGCATGAACTCATCGTTGTTTTTAACACTAAACCACTGCATGGTTAATCCATGATCCGCACTCGGAGCATGTATAAAAAAAACGGCACTGTATGGAGGAGGGGGGTGAGGGGGAGGACGAATCAGAAAAGGAGGGGGGGGCATAGAAGGAGGAGGAGGAGGCGGAGGAGCAGGAGGCGGAGGAGGAGGAGGAGGAGGAGGAAGAGGAGGAGGAGGAAGAAGAGGAGGAGGGGGAGGCGAAAGGCCCGGACAGTGACGCCTCCTGCAGGGGCACGGAGCCCGAGCAGGATGCCCGGTTCAGTGCAGATCTCAGCCGCAGCTCCAGCGAGCAGGGAGAAAGTTAAACAGTACCCCACCGCCCGTGGCCCGTCGCGCGCCGCGCGCGCCATGCCGCCGAGCTCCATCCTCACACCGACGTAGAAAAGGTATGCCCTCTCCTCCTCCTCTTCCTCGTCCTCTTCCTCCTCCTCCTCCTCCTCCTCCTCCTCCTCCTCCTCTTCCTCCTCCTCCCCCTCCCCCTCCCCCTCCCCCTCTTCCTCCTCCCCCTCCTCCTCCTCCTCTTCTCCACTTGGGGGGGGGGAGGGCGACGGACGGGCGACGCGACGGCGGACAGACAACGGTCGGGGCCAAACCAACGGATCAGAATCGTCCGAGAGACCCTTGGGGGGCACAGTGCGAGTGACCTGCCTGGCGCCCGGACGCCAACATGGCCATGGGCGGGGGAGCGACAGGGTCGGAGCAGCTCGAGGCAGAAGCGCGACTACCCTCACCTTCGCGCGACTCGGCCACGACAGTGACAACCCCACTCCGAGGATGCTTCCCCCGCTCACTACGCCGAACCTTCACCTTCGAATGAGCCAACAAGTACTGGGCACGACCGACGGGCCTTTTGTACCCTTCGCGAAGGCGATGCATACTATTGCGAGCGCCGTGAGCAGGATATCGCCTGCAACAACACACGGGACCAACAACGACGGCATCGTGTCCGAGAGCCTGCAACGGATCGGGCGCACGAGGGGAGGCGGGCGCAGGCAAGGCCCCGAGACATGCCTTCCTGCACCGCGGCCTGCAGGCCAGAGCAGAGCGAGGCGTGAGGGGGGAGTGCCCATGAACGCGCTACTTTTGATCCACGGGTCGAGAGCGCACCTCTTCAGGTCGAAGCTAAGCGTGCCGCGCGAAGCTTGAATTAGGCTGAGAAGGGGAGACGAACGCGCCACACGCCGCTCATCTCTTGGCGCGACCGATGGCCTGACGGGGGCCCGGGAGAACTCCAAAGAGGGCTCCAATGGGGAGCTGGGCGGGGCACTGCTGCACTGCGGCCCAACCTGCCCTCGCCACCTCGGGGATGGAGCGATGCAGACAACTGCCGCCCAGAGCGGATTCAGGCTCCCAAGGAGCAAACCCAGAACCAAACCTCAACGCAACAGGACGGCCCTCAGGGGCCTGAGCGGAAACAGGCAACGCGGGGAGGCCACGCGCGAGACAGGTGCTGTCAACGTGAAGCTCCCCGCACACGTGCTCACTCAACCTGTCGGGCATCTCCTCGCCCATGGGATCAAGGATGTTAATCGATGCAGACCTGGGGCAGCAATGCCACGCGTGACCACGTGTATGACCAGGGCGAGAGTAAGCCAGACAGCCCGCACACGCGTCGCACCTGAGCTGAGCAAGTGCAGCAGGGAGGGGAACCACATTAGCGCAGACCGCAGACAAGGCCCCCTTCGTCTTGGGACATCTTACGCCTTTAATACCATGACGTAGCGCTCTGTGCCGTACAATATCCGTGCCGTCGGAGGTACTAACGTGATTGAGTAGGCGCCTGTGCTGCCATCTTTGGAGGGTTGATGTCATGGGGAAGCGTGATGAGTAGGACGTGCCAGTACCGCTGCGCAGGGCATGCGCATTTACCAAAAGCCCAGCCAATGCGCAAGAAGGGGGGGCCAAACGGCTGACATGGGCCCTCGGGCCTGCTGCCGGGCCGGGTCGTCCAGCATCGCCTCTCGCAGCTGTAACCAGGCCCGCTGGGCCCTGCTCATCTCCACTCTACCACCCCGCACAAACGTAGAACACTTAACAACCACCCCCGGAATAACAATCGTAAATCGGGTCGTACAGGGGGTCAGCGTGCGCGATGAGGCACCCGGCAACACCCCCGCGCTTTTCCCCGGCAGCCAGCGTGGCAGTCATATGGCGCAAGTACCTAAAGCGTCGCCCGAGACGCCAAACACTGCCCCTCCATGCCCAGCCGCGGGAAGGGCCCCAGCGCGCCAGAGAGCAGCGGCACGTCTACCCACTGCTGACTTGAGGGCACTAAATGTCCTCCACCTGTCCTCCAGCGCCTGCGCTCGCTTCTTCTCCTGCGCGCGCATGGCCCTGCCTCCAGCTAACCCATGTCCAAGGTTCCTCACCCACCTGCTCAATGGCAAGGCAAGTCGAGCCGCGACGGTGGAAGTGAACCTGCGGCCCGGTGCAAAGACAGCCACAAAGCCATACTTCTTGACTTGCGCCCAGAGACCAAGATCAAACGCATCTGCCGTGAAACACTGGACCGCGCGCTCTAGCTGGGGAATGTCGCGCTTGGAAGAGGGCGCCAACTGAAGGGGCGAATCGCCCACGAGCGCGCGAGCCGTCACTTGCGGAGACATGCTGTTGAGCCTCTTGACAGCTCGCCAGGTGAGAAGGCATATAATGCCAGTGGCATGGTTGCATCCTGCGAGGATACCTTGATGAGACGGCCCAAACGCCTTGAGGCACCGTGGCTGCCTGTGCAAATCCACTAACATCCAAGCAAGGCGGGCGGGAAAATCAAGGGCTCTCGCCTCCTGGACCAGCCGCTTCGAAACCATCTCGAAACATTTGACCACATCGAGCACCACAGACAAAAAAACATCTCCGGCTAACCCGGCAATGTCGGCAGAGAGCTTGCGGGCAAACGCGCTGTCTGGCAAGCTGCGACGTCTCCGAGTGCCCCGGATCTCCGAGCAGCCGCGCCGATGCTGCCACTCGAGCGTCAAGCGCTTCCTGGCCTTTACCCCATGCTCTGCAGGTGCTTCTGACCAGCGCGATGAGGCGTGCGCCTCCGCCAGGCGTGGCCAGCCTCATCACGTCGTTGACCGCCCCCCCCTCAGCCCGCCCCCTCCCCGCGGCGCACGCGCAGCCGAAAGAGCGCCGCCGACGCTTCGCGGGCGGCGGCAGGCAGGAGGTCAACCAACGCTCCGGGGCGTAGAGCGTTGGGCCCTGCAGCGGCGCGAGCGGGATGCGACGGCGCCGCGCCCCGCACTCGCCGAGCCGAGACGGGGGGGGGGAGGTCGGGCCAGCGGCCCACATCCTAAGGCATCGGAAGAGGCGCGGCCTCGCGAGCTGCCCGAACTTGGGCCTGGGGCCTATGCTCGTGGATGCCATGACCATGGACACTCGAACAATCATACCTTTGAAGTAAGAATGGGTTTTTAGGGTGTAAGACATGTTGTACAATTGTTCAAGCATGCTTTACATAGTTCAAGCATGTTTGAAACATGGCTTAGACATCTGGGAATTATTTGGCAGCATGCTTCCTCTCCATTAATCGACTTCCACAAGCCTACGCCCATGATCAGCCAACGAGAACGGAGCGGAAAAGGGCACCAGCTGAGAGGATCTCCCGGGCCGCTCTGACATTCGAGAACCCGCGCGCCTTAGGCGCACTTGGCTGATGGGCCTCTCGCGCCCACGAAAGCTACGTGCGGGTGGATGCGCTCTCAGCCGTGGTGATGGCAGCCTTGGCTCGAGCGCAAATGCCCGTGGCCGCGCCGGCAAAATGAAGCCCGGCCTACGCCGCAAACCCATTCTCAAGAGAACTCCGGGCGGGCTCGTCGAGATGCAACGACGACTTTTTTGCGGCGCGCAATTTTGCTCACGAGCCTGGCGAACTCCGCCAGGGACTGCACGAGCTTCAAAAATAGCATGGGCACGAGCGCGCAAGGGGCATTGGCGATCTGGGGGGTCCAACTTCCTTCTTGAGATACCGCCACGCCACATCTCAATGATGTGCTTGGTTCAACTCAGAGCGGCGGCCCAGGCTCGGGCACTCGGATCTGCGCGCGTCTTCTTTCGGGGCGGCGCCGCGCCAGCTTCTGCCACCGAGGTCCGCCGCGGCCCGCGGAAGCCTCGGCGCGGATCCCGCCGGCATCCCAGCGACCCGCGAATTCAGTTCCAATGCCCTCGAGAACCAAGTCCCAAAACTCCGAAAACTTTTCCCGTGACTGAACCTGCGGCGCCGCAGCCTGGCGCGCAGCCTTCCACGGAAACGCGGGCGGCCGCGCGCGTGCAGTGGGCGGCGGCGCAGGAAAAGCCTTGGGATTCTTGTCCGCTCTAGCCCAAACAGGCGCAGAGTTGTTGCAAATCTCGACTGGGGCAGGCAAACGTGGAAATGCGGTGGAATTCCCGCCCACCGCGGCCCCCGCTTCGAGCCTGGGCAGGAGCGAGCTCGAGCACAACAAAACAATCGTAGATGTGGCCTGGCGCACTCTGCCGACGCGCGGCAACCGATGGGCGCGAATGCGCCGCTCCCACACTGGCATGCCTCGCAACCACTTCGGACCGATCGTTGACCACTTCGGACTGATAACAACAACTTGCGTTCGGTCCGAAGTGGTTGCGATGTTTTGGGCCGCTTCTATCAGGTTTCGATTGAGGGAGGATCATGCGAACGCTTCTGGGTGCACTGAACTCCCTTAAGCCGCCCAATGGAAATCTGAGAAAGCGGTTGCGATCGGTCCGATCACAGACGGCCGATCATCGTCTCAACTAAACGTGTACTTGTGCTCGAACGTGGCCATGATCCGCATGCGATTCCGATGTGATTCGTATTCGGTTCCTATGTCCTTTGTATACGATTCCTAGGTG